ACGTATATGACTCTGGCTCATCGAATAATTGGGGTCAAAGTGCGCAAATACTTATGTGTGTTCTCGCATACCTACGAAGCTGTGCCAAGATATTTTTAAATGTTCATTTTAATATGTAACATGTTCATTTTAAATTATTTTGACACACCTTGCTAGGTGTGCCGGCGCATGGCAGTAGCACCGGTCAAAGTGTAGGTTGCGTTGGAGATTTGACCGCAATCATTTTCAAACATTCGTCTCTAAAAATGATTGATTTCATGGAGTTTTAATTTGCATTTTTTTTTATCAAAACAGGCCACATAAAAATGAATGAAACAGAGCAAATACAAACTAAAAAAAAAAAAATGAATGCCTGCGAAAACACAACAATTGACAATCCAAAATGGCAAAATCTATCAAAAACAGCATTCAATCATGCAGCCCTTTCCAAAACATCGTCGATAAATTGGCCCAAAAACTCATACGACGAACCACCTTTCGACATAACAATCCGACTCGTTTCGCTTAAAGCCCTCACCTTAGCCTGCCGGCCCGCATTCTCTGGGCCCATCAACTCCGTCGCGGCCTTCTATCCTCTCGACGGGCACAATCACGCCGCTATCCCTCCTGTAATCTTAATCTCAACAGCAATCCGAGCTCCGTCGTCAGCTGGAACGCGTTCGCCTGCTGCTCGGCAGCCAACGGCCACGCGGCCATCGGCACCCCACACCACACGCTCTCGAGCGTCGAGTTCCACATGCAGTGCCAAACAAACCCCCTGACTGCCCGGTGGGCCAGCACCGCCACCTGTGGGGACCACCCGATCACCTTCCCTACCCTTGAAGTCCGCTCCAAGAACCCGTCGGGCAAAAACTCACCCACATTCTCAAACTCCCCCAGAAACTCGAATTTTTCCTTCGGCGCTAGTTTCCGCAACGACCACAGAAATCTGCACCTAATTCTCTCGAGCGTTGTCGTGCACCTGATCCGCTTCGAAACTCCCGCGGCTGCCGAAGCAGAGGAACACTACCGACGAGTCGGGTTTCTCGTCGAGCCATTTCATGATCTCGTCGAGCTTTTTATTGTCGTCATTCGAATATTGGATGATGGGGCCCACCAGATAAACCGACGGGAGATTCACGAGCGCGCGAACCGCGTGCGGCTCGAGTTCGAGAAAAGTGTTGACTATAATACCCTTCGTCTCCTGGAATTTCCTTTGCGAAATTCAAGAAAATGCTCTCCCTATCGAAAACTATATATTTCTGGCCACACACACGGGGGAACAGGGGAAGCGTACGTGGGGATGGAAATCGAGATGGCCTCGTCCGAATCCTTGTACTCCTTGAGGTCTCGATTTTCGAAATCGGCAAGTCCCTGGAGGTAGAGAAAGAGGCCGAGGCTCGAGGCGCTGCTCGGGTAGAACACGTACGAAGGGACGCCGAGCTCGTGGGCCACGTCGACCATGGCCGTGTAGAACATGTCGACAACGAAGCTCGCGAGACGACTAGTTTTTGTCGGGCTCCAGTTTTCGATTAATTTCAACACGGCGCTCACGGGGCCCCGTTGGCTAATGATGAAGCGAGTCACGAAGGATTTGCGTGACTTGGTCCACGTGCACAAAGTGGATCCGTGAGTAGGGGGAGGTTTTCTCGGGGCGTGAACCGGTTTTGGTGTCGACTGAGAGCTTCATAAGGATGATAATGACCGAGATGCGCGGGTCCCGGGACACGAGGAGTTCGGCCAGTTGGATGTTCGTCGCCTGGTAGCTCAGGACGGAGAACGGGATGAAGATGAGGGTTGCGTTTTGATTGAGAGACATAGATTTTTTTTTTATTTTTTTCCAATTGTTTTGGCAGGAAAATTGGCTGATATGATTTAGAGATTAACTTTAAGAGGAAGGATTTGATTTGATTTATACAGAGAAGGTAACACTTAATGAGCAGGTAATTGGTGGTAGTTGAAAAGTTTGTATAAGTATTTGTTGTAAGAAAACCTTGGCGAGCAAGTACGATACCACAGTCGCTTGGGCAATCATGTGAGGAAGTGTGTGAGCTTGGACTGGTAAAACAACATACACGAGTTCTAACAAATGTTTGGTAGCCTGTAAGCTTATATTAAACTAAATATAGTTTATAACTAAGTTTTTTTGGTAGTTTTTCAGCTCGTTGAATTTTTATTTACTCTAACTTATCAGCTAATTTTACTAAATATATTTATCATATAAGCTAGTTTTTTCTGTTGTAACTCATAAAATATAAATTATACGTTCGAAAATCACTTATATGAGCTAGCTAGTTTACCAAACATAGCCTAAATCTTTTGTTCTTGCTAGAGGCCGACTAGAGTTGCAAACGAGCTGAGGCAAGTCGAGCATTAGCTTTATCGATGGGTCCGTCAACCTATCATACATCAGACTAATCTCCTAAAACTTATTCGGCAACACCGCGTTGAGAATCTATCTAAAGAAAGGGTGTCCTCGAGCTCGACCAACGAGTTTACCATCTACTTTTGACTACAACTGTTGGATCTGCTATGTCATTCTCTTAAAAGCTCGATCCTGATGACCACCTTCTTTTCTATTGCTCGAGTGTCCATCTTCATCTCCTGCTCATTTTTTCTTACAACCGTGGTCGCCGTGGTGTTGGCCTGAGAAGTATGATGAGTGGCCTGTAGAACTGCTCCAGCTGCCACAACATTTACGATCATCCGCTCCAGCTCCTGTCACGACATTGTGACTAGCTGGTGGTCAGCTTGCTCCGCCTCGGTCCTAAGTGGCCCCATTGTCTAGGTCATCGTCCTCCGTGGCAGCACTTTGGCTAGATCTGGTTGTGCCTGCACCGGAACCACAACCCCTTGAGTCACTCAATCCTCTTGGGCATGACTCAAGTCTGCAACATCTGCAGGAACCACCGATGAGCTACCTAAGCCCGTAGGACGAGGCATTAGGGTCTGAGAAGTTCCGGAGAATCCTGGCGGTGAGCATGCTCCTATGAACGAGTGTTCGTCCACTCATCGCCAAAAGTATGCTCCAAAATTTTTAGAAAATTTTGCACGGTCATGGCTACGGTGCTTGTTGTCTTTTCAAACGAAAGTCCCATATACGGTGCCAAATGGTACGTCAAAGACCCCAACTAGCTAGAAACGGCTAGATCTCGATCTCCTCACCGGTTGAATGCCTTTAAACCTACAAAACTCTCACACTGAAGGGGTGTTATCATCCGACTCGGCAAGACGCTGTTAAGAGGTTTTAAGCATCCTGTTAAACGCGATTAACAGTTTAACCGACATAGATCATAACCGCACCGATCTACACCAAAGAACCGGTCTGAACCACCAAAGACCGAAGTGACCGACGATTACCGAGGTCAACACCCACCGAGGACAACATGAACCGAGGTCGTCACCTCCTTAAGCAGGTGACAAGGCATCTACGAGAGGCTCTCCTACTCCACAAGATCTGTCATCATTTACGTGGGACCCTCTGCCTCGAAACGCCCATAAAAAGCTACTTTATTCCAAAAAGTAGTACACGGATCCCAATATCTCAGCCCAAAACTACTATAAATAGCGGACCTGTGACAATTGTAAAGCTCTCTGGATTTTTTGAGATACATTACCGAACTGTAAACCCTTTATTACGGAACACGAAAAAGCCCATCACGGCTCTTCACCTCGGTTCACCTCGGACCGGGGCCATTGTTGATTCACTCCTACATGCTTTACGTTCAAAATCACTCCAAATTACTCACTTAATCATAGATTATATCGTTGTTAACAATCACATAACAACAAGGGGTTCTACAGTGAAGAGCCTACGAGGCTTAAGTTAGCACTTGTAGAAGATGAAGTGCAATATGAAAATGTATGTAGACAGTGTAATGTAATACAAGGCATACCTCACTTCCTTATATAGAGAGAAAATACCTTGTTGCCCAAGGTTGCCCGAATGGACTGCCTCGACTTCCGTAACTGGTTGTTCGTACAACCCTAGATGCCCGAGCTGCACAATTCTATTATGCAACGTGGTATTTCCCATTTGGGAGTCTTATTCACATAATATTTCTTCTTATCCTTTAGTCTTATTTATTAGACGCTCTAATGGTGCGACTAACCCTGATTACGTCAAGGTAGAGCATTGCTCACATCGAGCTCCTGCACTCTGCTCATCTGGTTGATCCTTCGACCATATGTACCTTCAGGTCGAACTTCAATCAGGCCTTCCAAGGGCCTTAATTCGACCTCATGTTGCTCTTTGTATCCATAACATCCCAATCGACCTGAGGATCCTTCGACCTGTGAAGTTTTCATTCTCAGTTCGACTTGATGGCTGACCCAGTTCAGTTCAGTGGCTTCCCCAGTCTAGTCGACTTAGTACTGTTATCCTATATCACCATGAATTACAATTAATTCATCTCCAGATTTATTCACTAGATTTGTCACCCCTTGTTTAAGATCTAATGCCCATTGATTATCATAATTATTAACAATATAATTAATCAACTTCTTGTACCAAAACTAGTACCACTCAACTTTCATATTGTGTTAGAACTTAATCCGCTTGTAGGGCTTGACATGATATATCATCTTGAGCTTATTTCAAGAACGTCATCAACCCAACGCATCGGGACAAAATGATAGTAAATAATATTAACCAAACAATATGCATTTAACAATATTAGCCAATCACCTTGTCTACTCACCCAATAATTGGATCACACTTTATGATAAATTAAAGCAATAAATATCAAGTACACACGACCATTCATAATCTTACACTTTAAGAGTACGGGCAATAAACATGGTCAAGATTATTTACTTGGTCAGTATAAAATAATCTTATCATCTGTGATTCGTTTAGTACATCTTAGATGTACTGGTGTAATTCATTGGTCAAGGTAAACTAATTTGAAATTACACTACAACCTTTCACGACAATTTTGTCCAATTCAATTTAGGTTGTGGGCCATACATTATATTTTACAAGAAACTGATGATATGATCTTCTGTTCTACACATCGAACTAAATTATCTACAATGTAAAATAGAAGAACAAACACTTTTGACTAAACATGATTCTCATTCAAAAATGGATTGGAAAGAAAAGTTTGTACATAAAGTCGAGCTGTTAGTATACAAAACAACAATGTCAAGTAGAGTCGCATGCATGAAGACACATGTCGAAGCTGCTTTTAATGATGTGACTGGTTAGGCGGTTACTTTACCAGCTTCGTTCACGTTGGGAATCAGTTGGTCGATAGGCACTCAGGCTAGAATCGGGTTGGCAAGATACTTGTGACGTCTAACGTTGGGTCTTCCTCTTGGAACTCTGGAGTTGGAACAATTTTGGCCCAATGGAGAATAAAACGGCCCAAAGGGTGTGACGGTTGACCAAGAAAAAATCACGTACAAAATTATAAAACGTTTAGATACATATTTTTTCTGAGACTTAACAATTAATATGTATGATTTAACATGCTAACTTGTGAATAAAATGCTAGGCATACTGATTTTAAATAAGATAATTTTGATGTATTTTTTTTTCAAAATAATAGACATTTATAATTAACAGCACAATTTACAAACTAGACTACAGTTACACAACCGAAAAAATCAGCTACCCAACTTTATCTAGTTGGGAGAAATACAACATGTGTAGCCTAGAACTAACCAAAAAAACCCCAAACAGGAGAATACACAAACTCCCACAAGTTAAGACTACAACAAACACAATTCCAAATGAGAGAAAGACCCAAAACACAAGAAAAATACCTAGGAAAAAAAACTAATAGCTAGATTAAAGCACTGCCAACCAGCAAAGGAGCCACTCCCAAACACTCCAAGCGATCTAACACATAAGGCAACCACCCAAGAAGGCCAAGCCTCAGGCCCAAACACGAAACTAGAAACTCCCCTGATGCCTAACTCGAACCGGACTAAAGACCCGAAACTTTCCCAGAAGGCCACCATGATAACTGCACTAGAGGACCTGCACCCAAGTTCCCCCAGCCCAACCGGCGGCCGTCGCCAAACGACCGAAGTCGAAGCCACCCCCACTGATGGCCCCTGCTCGCCGAACACCATGGCAGAATAGGAGCCGGAGAAACTGTTCGCTAATTATTTTTGCTATCCGCAAGTGTACGGCGTAGCTAGGTAGTGGCGAGCAAGGTCGTATTCCACAGAGATTGTAGTTAAATT